CCATTGTCTGCAACCCCAGGTGAATTTAAACACCCTTTCCTAACTCACTTTTTTTCTCTCTACAATGATAAAAAACAATTTGTAGTCCTACTTTACAAGGATATCAGAAAAATAAATAAGAAATATAGCACGATGCTTTTAAAATATAATCTCTGAAGTCAAATTGTTTAGGTTTAATTCTTGGCTCTCTTAGCTGTGCGACTATGGGCAATTCATTAATTTGTGTGGCAGTTTTCTCAACTGTAAAACAGGGAAAATACTTAACTTATACAATTGTTGTAGAGATTGAATGAGAAAACCCATGAGAAAGCACTCGAACCCTGGCTGACGCACAGTACAATGCTCAATAAACATTAGATGATGATTATCAGTATATGTAAATTTTGCATACAGGCAAAGTAATTTTTAAAAATCTACTTGACAGACAGATGGTTTGAATCTCAGGTATTCTGAATTTTGAATCAATAGTTGAAAAACATAAAGCTGTAAGTCTTCCATATTTTTAGACCTGAAAGAATTATAAAACAAAGCTTATCACAAATATGCTATCAACAAACAAAATAACTTCCTTTTTAGAAAGAATATTCTTTCTGTGCCTATTCACTTGGATGGTGAACCTTCTCACCCATCAAATCTTAGTTTAAATGTCCCCTTCTCAAATCACTCAAGCTCAACTTACTCAAATTATCCTTTACTAGATCATGCAGCTTTCAAACTCTGTAGTTATATACTTATTATTATCGGTCTCTTCCCACCAGACTATAAACTCCATGAGGGAAGTCCTTTTCCTTACTCTGAATATACTCAGTTCAGACACTCAATTAATGTCTGGCAAATGTCTGAATCAACGAATTGATGATGTAAAAGATGGAAATGAAAAAAGATGGTATAAAGGCTACAAAATTTTTTTCCATAAAAAAAGGCCCTCTAGATGAGTGTTTCTCAAACATTTTTAACATGACCCACAATTAATATATTTTATATCACATATATATGTGATAAACACACATATCCACAGAATTAAAACATTTCACACAAAAAATGCTATACTTACTATGTGTGATGAATTCTGATATTTTCTATTCCATTCTATTATATTCCTTTATATTAAAAAATAATTATTGTGGCTCACTATACTGATTTTATATCATGTTAATGTATAAAGACTTGAAGTCTGAAAAATGATGCTTGAAGTCAGAGGTTATTAAGTTGATATCTGCAAGGTATTTTAAAAAATATGCATGGGAAGGAAGAAATAAAACTGTCTTTACTCATAGATGACATGATTGTCTATGTAGAAACTGAAAAAAAAATAATAAAGAAAAACTTTTCTGGAACAAATAAGCAATTATAGCAAGGTTGTAGGACACAAGGTTATTATACAAGACAATTGCATTCCCATATGACAGCAATGAACAAATGGAATTGGAAATTAAAAACACATCGTTTACATTACACCCCCCAAAATTAAATGATCAGGTATAAACCTAACAAAATATGTACAAGATCAATATGAAGAACTCTGGTAATGAAATAAAAGAACTAAACAAATGGAGAGAGATTCTATGTTAATGGGTAGATACACCCAATATTGTAAAGATATGATTTTTTTCCAGCTTGATTGATAGATTCAATGCAATCTCAATGAAAATCCAAAGAGTTATTTTGTGGCTATTGGCAAACTGATCCTAAAGTTTATATAGAGAGGAAAAAGGCCAAGAAGAGCAAACACAATACTGAGGGAGAAGAACAAAGTGGAAGGACTGACACTACTGACTTTAAAACTAACCACAAAGCTAGAGTAATCAAGACAGTATGGCATTGGCAAGAGAACAGAAAGATCAGTGGGACAGTATAGAAAGCCCTGAAATAAACCCCACAGATATAGTTAACTGACCTTTGACAAAGGAGCAAAAGCAACACAATAGAGCAAAGACAGTTTTCAACAACTGGTGCTGAAACAATTGGATATCTACATGCAAAAATATAAATCTAGACACAGATCTTACGCCCATCACAAACCTCTATCAAAATGGACTGTGAACCTAAATCTAAAACACAAAACTCTAAAATTCCTAGAAGACAACATAGGAGTTATATGATGTCTTTTTACATACAACAACATCAAAGGCATGACCCATAAAGGAAAAAGCTGGATTTCATGAAATTAAAAACACTTCTGCTCTTCAAAAGGCTAAGTGGAGAGAATGAGAAAACAAACCACAGACAGAGAGAAAATATATGCAAAAGACACATCTGATTTAAAAAAAATTGTTATCTAAAATATACAATGAATTGTTAGAACTCAACAGTAAGAAAATAAACAACTTTATTTTAAAATGGGCCAAAATTGCCCTAACCCAGCGGTTCTCAACCTGTGGGTGGCGACCCCATTTGCGGTTGAAGGACCCTTTCACAGGGGTCGCCTAAGACCTTCCTGCATATCAGATATTTACATTACGATTCATAACAGTAGCAACATTACAGTTATGAAGTAGCAACGAAAATTTTATGGTTGGGTCACAACATGAGGAACTGTATTTAAAGGGCCAGATGGTTGAGAACCACTGCATAACCGGTTTGGCTCAGTGGATAGAGCATCGGCCTGCGGACTGAATGGTCCCAGGTTTGATTCCGGTCAAGGGCATGTACCTTGGTTGTGGGCACATCCCCAGTAAGGGGTGTGGAGGAGGCAGCTGATCGATGTTTCTCTCTCATCGATGTTTCTAACTCTCTATCCCCTCTCACTTCCTCTCTGTAAAAATAAATAAATAAATAAATAAATAAATAAATAAATAAATAAAATAGGCCAATGACCTTAAGAGACACCTCTTCCAATGAAGATGTACAGATGGCCAGTAAGCATATCAAAAGATGCTGCACATCACATGTTAGCAGGGAAAAAAAGAAAACACCAGTGAGATACAACTACACATCTATTAGAATGGCCAAAATTTGGAATACTGACAACACTAAATGCTGGCAAGGATGTGTAGTTGAACTCTCATCCATTACTGGTAGGAATGCAAAATGGTAGTCACTTTGGAAGATAGTTTGGTGATTTCTTACAAAAGTAAACATACTTTTACCATACGATCCAGCAATTGTGCTACCTGGTGTGTACTCCAAGTTGTTGAAAACTTTTATCTATACAAAATCTAGGTGTGGATGATTACAGCACGTTTATTCACAATTGCCAAAACTTGGAAGCAACCAAGATGTTTTTCAGTAGGTGAACGGATAAACCATGGTACATTCAGACAGTGAAATATTATTCAACACTAAAAAGAAATAAACTATCAAGCCAGGAAAAGACATGGAAGAACCTCAAATACATATTGCTAAGTGAAAGAAAACAAGAAAAGGCTACATACTGTGTGGTTACAACTAAAACATTCTGCAAAAGGCAAAATCATGGAAATAGTACAATTATCAGTTTGCCAGGGACTGGGAATGGGGAGAGGGCTGAATATGTGGAACACAGGATTTTTGGAGAAATGAAAATACTTTGTATACTCTAATAATGGATGCATGTCATTATATATTTTTCCAACTCATAAAATGTACAACACCCAAGTGCAAGCTGAAATGTAAACTATGGACTTTGAGTGACTATAATGTGTTAATGTAGGTTCATCAGTTGTAAAAAAATGTGTCATTGTGGTGGAGGATATCGTTAATTGGGAGGCTGTGCATGTGTGGGTATAGGGCAGCCGTGGGCAAACTACGGCCCGCGGGCCGGATCCAGCCCGTTTGAAATGAATAAAACTAAAAAAAAAAAAAAAGACCGTACCCTTTTATGTAATGATGTTTACTTTGAATTTATATTAGTTCACACAAACACTCCATCCATGCTTTTGTTCCGGCCCTCCGGTCCAGTTTAAGAACCCATTGTGGCCCTCGAGTCAAAAAGTTTGCCCACCCCTGGTATAGGGGATTATGGGAAGTATGCACCTTCCCCTCAATTCTCTTGCAAAACAAAAACTGCTCTAAAAAATATTAATTAAAAAAAAAAGATGATGGCCGGAACTGGTTTGGCTCAGTGGATAGAGCGTTGGCCTGCGGACTGAAAGGTCCCGGGTTCGATTCCGGTCAAGGGCATGTACCTGGGTTGCGGGCACATCCCCGGTAGGAGATGTGCAGGAGGCAGCTGATCGATGTTTCTCTCTCATCGATGTTTCTGACTCTCTATCTCTCTCCCTTCCTCTCTGTAAAAAATCAATAAAATATATTTAAAAAAAAAAAAAGATGATGCCGTTTTATGTATATGTGAGTTTGCTGGTAGGGCAGAGTTGTCATCATGGTTTTCAGATTCATGAAGAGGTTTATGGCCCCCTAAGTCTAAGGGCTTCTATTACTATATGTTATTATCTGTGAAGCACTACACAAAACTATATAAAAAATGTGATTTAACAGGGATGGCAGTATATGATAGGAAAAAACATTTTGATTATGAAGTCTGATGAGGCTGAGGTTCAAATCATTTACTGACTCTGCAATCTTGCTTACCTATCTATGAGCCTTAGGTTTTTTTTTTATCTGGAAAGTAGCTTGAAAATCTTCTTCATGGGTTAAGTAAAATAAAAATTATGTAAAACATCCATTATATAACCTGGAATATTTGCTAGGCATTCAATAAGTCATAGGCATAATTATTAAATTCTAGTATTTTCAACAAAATTAACTTCCATGGACAAAAATACAATCTTAAACAAAGTACAACTAAATTATAAACGTATATTATTGAAAAAATAGATTATTCATGTATGTGCAGAAATTATATTCCAGGATCTTTCTTTTCCTCATAGCTAACACCACTGTGTAGAAATCATCACAACATGCTCCTCCAAGTGTGATTTTGTAAGTTCAACAGTGCAACAAATACCCACAATATACAAAGTATGTAGAAAAGTAATTTAGCAAAAATATAAATAAATTAGTACCCTACCCCCATGATTACAACAGACAACTTATGGTATTTTTAAAACAACGATCCTCACATCACTTAGCTGCCTGTTGCAGAGTGCTGTGGCTGAGTTGGTATTCTGCTTATTCCCTGCCTTTAAAGCTGCATCTCTTCTCGCTTGCTCAAGCAGAACTCTTGCTCTTTCTTTAAGTTCTTCTTGTCGAGATAACATTCGTTGCTTAAAAGCAAAGATACAGAATTAGAAGCCTCAAGAATAAACAAACAAAACCCCAAGAGCATGTATTCTACATTTCTAAACTAATTAATGGTTATACAACCTGTCAAAATAATAGTGTTGCTTCAATCATAGGTATCCTTCATAGTCAAGGAAGAGGTGATAAACAGTAAGCCTATTATTTTATTTGGTGTCATATAAAACTTCATTATAAATTTCCTGTGTATATCATTTTTGGGTCTCTATATTTTAATAGAACAATTTAAAAGCTTTTTTTCTGTAATCTTAAGCAAGGAAGAATTTTTTAAAAACTGTACAAGTCAGTGGTTTTTAGTATATTCATAACGTTGTGAACCACCAACACTATTAATTCCAGGACATTTTCATCAACCAAGGTTTTAAGAGGATTTTAAGTTCATGTTCATAAGACATAACAGAATAAAATTGGTCACTGCATTTAAAATGGTTACAAATCAACACTTTTCTCTAAACAGAAAGAATTAGTGAAATGAACACTGAATTTGCAGTCTAAATATCAGGCTGTTAATCCTGATACACAATTTAACACTGAACAGGTCACTTAAAAACTATACTGTATTCCATTACATGATATTTAAGAACTCTGGAGTCAAATATCAGTTCCATCACTTAATTGTGGGCAAGTTAATCAAACTGTCTAACTCTCCATTTCCTCATTTATAAAGTGGGAATAAAAACAGACCAACTCTCATTAAGTATACTATAAAGATTAAGTGAAGTAGAATAATATACTGACGATTGGATAAATGTTAACTATTATTATATTTTTAAAAATCTCTCATCTTAAAAAAAGGGGAGATCATCTTTAAGATCCCACAAGCTCTACATATGATTCTATAGTCCTTTAGGGATTTCAATCAGCTACACGGGTGTAGCAAAAAATTGCTTTCGTGTTTAAAACACAAAAATACAATTTTTTTTTCTGATTACAAATGCAATTTATATTAATTATAGAAATTTTAGAAAATATATAAAAGTAAAAATAAAATTGGAGGCATCACGCTCCCTGATTTCAAACTACTAGTATTATAATGCTATAGTAATCAGAACAGTATGGTACTGGCATAAAAACAGAAACACAGATCAATGAAACAAAACAGGGAGCTCAGAAATGAACCTATGCAATAAATAAGTTTTGGAAAAACTGGACAGCCACATGGTCAAAAAAGTACAAACTACCAGGTATAAAATAAATAAGTCAGGGAAATGTAATATAGAGCATGGTGAATAAATCTTAAAACTCTAATTACAAGAAATAAAATTTTTAGTAACTATGTCTGGTGACATGAAAACAATTTTAAATGGTCTAGTAGTCTATTAACATAAATGCTTCATATTTTATTTAACTCATCTTATTGCATATTTAGGTTGTTTATATTTTTCCACTATCATAAACATGCTTTTATGAACATCTTTATCCATAAATTCTTTTTTAAATTGAATTTATTGGGGTGACATTGGTTAATAAAATTATGTAACTTTCAGGTATATACTTCTACAATACATCATCTGTATATTGTATTGTGTCTCTAACTCTCCTTTTACCCTCTTCTACCTCCCCCTATCGCCCTTTTCCTTCTGGAAATCACCATACTGTTGTCTGGGTCTATGAGTCTTTCTTTTTATTCCTAATCCCTTCACCCTTATCCAGGGCCCAACCCCCACCCCTCTGACATCTGTCACTCTGTTCTCTATAACTATGAGACTGATTCTGTTTTGTTGATTAGTTTATTTTGTTCATTAGATTCCAAATGTAAGTGAAATCATATGGTACTTGTCTTTCTCTGACGAGTTTATTTCACTTAGCATAATACTCTCCAGGTCCATCCAAGCTGTTATAAAAGGTAAGATTTCCTTCTTTTTTATGGCTGAGTAGTATTCTATTGTGTAAATGTACCACAGGCTTTTTTTTTTTTTTTTTTTTAAATATATTTTATTGATTTTTTACAGAGAGGAAGGGAAAGGGATAAAGAGTCAGAAACATCGATGAGAGAGAAACATCGATCAGCTGCCTCCTGCACACTCCCTACTGGGGATGTGCCCGCAGCCAAGGTACATGCCCTTGGCCGGAATCGAACCTAGGACCCTTGAGTCCGAAGACTGATGCTCTATTCACTGAGCCAAACTGGTCAGAGCCCCACACATTTTCAATGTTAGCAATGCCTGAATAATGATAAGGAGGCAGATTCCAGCACCCATTTCAGCAGGATCCCCATACATGCCTGTCATGACATATACAATGGCTTGCCCAATGGTAATGATCATACCAAATAATTTTTGGGCTCCATTAAATAAAGCTCTGTCTTTGGGTGTATCTCCAACTTCAATGATTTTGGCTCCAGCTAACAACTGCATAATCAAACCAGACGTTACAATTGGGGAGATACCCAATTCCATTAAAGTTCCTCTGTTGGATGCAAGAATAACTCTCATCCAGTAGAAAGGATCTGCAGAATCTGATGACATGATTCCAAATAGTGGTATCTGACAACATACTAAGAAAATGAAGAGAGTTATAGCAGTCCATAGTACTTTCTCTCTAAACTGGATTTTCCTTTCAGGTTTCTGAATTTCTGGTAGAACAGCACAGAAAGGTTTGATAACTTCTAAAAATTTGATGCCCATGGCGGCGGCTGGGCGGCCCACCGGGCACGGCGGCTCGGCGCGGTCTCCTCCCGGTCTCCCGGCTGGGCCTCTGCGCCGCTGCCAACGCGGTCTGGCGGCTGCGCGCAGCCAGGCTTTTTTTTTATCCTCTCATCTACTGATGGGCACTTGGGTTGCTTCCAAATCTTGGCTATCCTTCCTATATAATAAAAGCCTAATATGCAAATTGTCCCCTCGACCGGGTGTTCGACCAGGAAGTAGGGCAGGCTGCCTCCCCCTCCCCCACCTCCCCCGCAGTTGGCAGCAGCAGCAGGCAGCCCGGAGAAGGGAGGCCCTGGCCAGAAGCCGCTAGGGACCCTACCTGTGCACAAATTTCATGCACTGGGCCTCTAGTTATAAATAATGCTACAATATGGATGCAATGAACATAGAGGTGCATATATTCTTTCCAATTAGTGTTTCAGATTTCTTTGGATATATTTCCAGAAGCGGAATTGCTGGGTCATAAGGCAGTTAGTCCCACTTTTAATTTGTTGAGGTAATTCCATATTGCTTTCCACAGGGGTTGCACTAATCTGCAGTCCCACCAACAGTGCATGAGGATTCCCTTTTCTCTATATTCTCAAAAACACTTGTTGTTTGTTGACTTATTGATGACAGCCATTCTGACAGGTGTGAGGTGATATCTCATTGTGGTTTTAATTTGCATTTCTCTGATGATCAGTGATGTAGAACATCCTTTCATATGACTATTGGCCATCTGTATGTCCTTTTTTTGAGAAGTGCCTATTCAGGTTCTTTGCCCACTTCTTAATTGGATTTTTGTGTTTTTTGTTTTGTTTTGTTGTTTTATTTGTATTGAGAGTTTTATAAGTTCCTTATAAATTCTGGATATTAAGCCTTTATCAGATGTATTGATGAATATGTTCTCATTCAGTGGGTTGTCTTTTTGTTTTGTTAATGGTTCCCTTTGCTGTGCAAAAATGTTTTCATTTGATAAAGTCCATTTGTGTTTTTTTTCTTTTGTTTCCCATGTCTGAGATGATATATCAGAAAAAATATCCCGAAGAGAAATGTTGGAGATTTTATTGCCTATGTTTTCTTTTAGAATTTTTATGGTTTCGAGTCTAACATTTAAGTCTTTAATCCATTTTGAGTTTACTCTTGTGTATGGTGTAAGATGATCAACTTTCATTATGTTGCATGTTGTCCATCCAAGTTTCCCACACTTTTTATTGAATAGACTATCTTTACCCCATTGGGCTCTCTATTCTGTTCCATTGATCTATATGTCTGTTTTTATCCCAGTACCACGTTATTTTGATTACTATGGCTTTGTACCTTGTAGTTTATTTTTTAATCCTCATATTTATTGATTTTAGAAACAGAGGAAAGGGGAGAGAGAAAGAGAGAGGGAGGGAGGGAGGGAAGGGGAGAGAGAGGGAGAGAGAGAGAGAGAGAGAGGGAGGGAGAGAGGGAGAGAGGGAGAGAGGGAGAGAGGGGGAGAGAGGAAGAGAGGAAGAGAGGAAGAGAGAGAGAGAGAGAGAGAGAGAGAGAGAGAGAGAGAGAGAGAGAGAGAGGGAGAAACATTGATGTGAGAGAGAAATATTAATTGCTTGCCTCCCATATCCCCAACCAGGGATTGAACTGCAACCTAGGTATATGTCCTGACTGGGAATCAAACCCACAACCTTTAGGTGTATGGGATGATCCTCTAATCAAATGAGCCACCTGGCCAGGGACTTGTAGTAAATTCTTATGTACAGTTCTGAATATCTTCTTAGGAAAAATTCCTGGAGGTAGAATTTATGAGATTAACATTTTATGCAACTTAATGTGCATTGCTAAATTGGCTTTCAGTAAAGCTATCTGCTTTACATATGAAATATGATTATTCTTAGTGCTATCATCATAAAAAAAAATGAGATATTGTGACCATAAAATTTATGAGCATAGACTTTAGAGTAAGATAAGGTTGGGTTCCAGTCTGAACATTAGTGCTTATTATATGATCTTAGGCAACTCTGTAAACCCCCATTTTCCATATATAAAATAGAATTCAATCACTTACCTCCTTAGTTGTAAATTTAAGAAATGTGTAAGATATACAATGGTAATCACATGTATGAGCACTCAAATGTGCAACATTATGACTTTGCCAAGTCTCTGTAGTCATACTACATTATCAAATTTCCTCTAATCTAATACCATTATTAGATTCATCATTATTTTATGAACTACTAAGAAAGAACACTGTCAATTAAACTCTAACATACTATTTATTATAAGTAACATCTTGATTTCAGAGAATTATAAAAAGTTGCATATCTTAAAACTAATGAAACACAGTACAAAAAAGAAAAAGAAAAACATTTTTAGGTGTTCAGAATTTAGCTGCTATATAAAACACACACACACACCAAACCCCAAAACACCATCTCTGAAAATTTCAAGAACAACAAAAACAAAATCTATGAAGCATCAACATTCATATTAAAACTATTTAGTGCCAGGCAATACTTTTGCCAAGATAATTTAAATTTATCCTAAATAAAATTTTGACCAATAAACTAATGGTCAATAAACAAACATATATAGAGTTGTAAACAGTTGCTACTTCTATCATCCTATGGATTTACTGTACATGACTTCAGTCATCTGAATAAAATCACAGCATGATAGAATTTTATAGCTAAAAGGGCTCTCAGAGATAATTTCATTTTACATATATGGAAAATAAGATTTACAGAATTTAAATGGCTAGTTAACAGTTAACATGTTACTAGCATGTTAATCATTGGCAATGCGAAAATGGGAATCCAGGTTTAGTGATTCTCAGTCCAGAGTAATTTAAAATTCTAAATATTAATTAATTTCTATATTTAACTAAACCTATTTACCCTAACAATCAAAATTAAAGCTCTGGCCGGATGGCTCAGTTGGTTGGAGCGTTGTCCCATGCACCAAAAGGTTACAGGTTTGATTCCGGGTCAGGGCACATATCTAAGTTTTGGGTTCAATCCCCCATTGGGGTGTGTACAGGAGGCAACCAATCAGTGTTTCTCTCTCACACCGGTGCTCTTCTCTCTCTGTCTCTCCCCCGACTCCTCTCTCTCTCCCTCCCTCCCTCCCTCCCTCCAAAAATCAATAAACATATCCTTGGGTAAGGATAAAAAAAAAATGAGGAGTGAAAGAAAAACCTATATTCGATATTAGAACTTAGGCTCACCGAATTCTGCAATTGTCAATCACTTGATGTTTGTTGATTATCTACTATGTATGGACATTATGATGTCCTGAAGGCTCTTTTGTCCTGAAAGTTCGTGTACTTAAATGCTTTGATTTGAAAATTTTGATTAGGAGAACAGGGCTTGCTTTGTTAACTACTACTATATTTCTTTGATCCTAAGAGGCACATTTTTCCTTAACACCTCTGAAAAGTTAAAATGGATGGCATCTCTGCTATACAAGTGGTAGTTAAGATAACAGTCATTAATGCCTACATATGTATCTATTTGATATTTTTGGTGATATGACTGCAATTCCTTGATGTTTCAGTTAACAACTACTTCAGAGAATGGAAATTAACTCCAGGTTATTATCTAAAAATCTTTTGTTGGGGCCTTCCAATAAGATCAAGAAAGTGCTATTATCAATGAGTATTACTGAAAAGAAAAATCTAGAGACAACTGTGGAGAAATGCTGTAATTCAGAGGTTTTCAAACTTTTGGTTTCATAATCCCTATATATGCTTAAAAATTATAGAGAATCCCAAAAAGCTTTTGCTTATGTAGGTTATACCTATTGATATTTGTCATTTCAAAAATTAAAACGAAGAAATTTTAAAAATAGTTGCTGATTTATTCCTTTAGAAACAGCTATAATAAACCCATTAGATGTTATTCTAATAACATCTATACATAAAAAAGCCCAGTGACTGTAATGGCGGAAAGACCAGAATGACTGGTGGCTATGATGCACACTGCGGCAGCCAATCAGCCTGATCTGGGCCCCCATCAACCCCCCACCCCCTGGCCGGCCCAGCCCCACATCGGCCCCCAACACCCCAATCGGGGGTGGGGCCAGCCAGCCCCGCCCCCTATTGGCCTCCATTGGGGTGGGCTGGCCAGACTCCACCCATGCACGAATTCATGCACCGGGCCTCTAGTAGTCTTATAAAAACTTCAAGAAATGAGAATGCCATTATATTTTTATATTTTCTATTATATACTTCTATATTTCATTTGTTGAGATATCACAAATTATGTAGTCTCCAGAAAATACCACTGTACACTGTGAGAGAATGAAAGTGAAAAAGGTAAATGATGTTCTAGTATTATTGTGAAAATAGTTTCAACTTTGGGGCTCTCTGAAAGAATCTTGGAGAGTATCAGTGGTCACTGATCATACTTTTGAGAAACACTGCTGTAATGTAATACTTCTGAAGGCACAGAGGATAACACTGCAGGAAAACAGGAACGCCCAAAGCTTTGTATCAAAAAATGATTCAGAAGAGCTGGATTCTAAATTCTAATTCTAAATTTATTATACCTTAATTTATTTTGCTTAAAATTTCCTTTTTATATATATGTGTTATCTGATTAAGACACATAATATGCCTAAATAAATCTAAAAGAACTTTCAACAGGTATAAAATAAAAATTCTATGTGATAAGAAAAACATGTATCATAGTTTATTGGCAGTGTTTTTCTTTTTTGTGGTTCATAAAATAATGATATATATTATAATTGATGGTACTATAGATTCAATTAAATACAGTCAATATCGTAAGGTCAAATCTGTATCATTATTTTCTCATGAGGAGAAGTTGGATGCCACTGGAATTTTTATCTACAAGTAATGATGGGATTGAAAGATCAATTATAATGCAACTGAAACATTTGAAGAAAATGCTTTAAATGGTAAATATTTAACTTGTCTTTATACATTTCAGAATGATACTGTTACTAAATGAAATACTGAAACATCTTTTAATTATTCTTACAGTAAGATATTCTGCTTTTATAGGTTAATAATACTTTGATTTGAAAGTTGATATTCGGCCCTGGCCAAGTAGCTCAGCCGGTTAGAGCGTTGTCCTGATATGCTAAGGTGGGTTCGCTATCTGATCAGGGCACATACAAGAAGCAACCAATGAATACATAAGTAAGTGGAACAACAAATTGATGTTTCTCTCTCTCTCTCTCTCTCTCTCTCTCTCTCTCTCTCTCTCTCTCTCTCAAATGAATGAATAAATATGAAAAAAGATAAGTTGACAGCCTTGGCTGGTGTGGCTCAGTTGGTTGAGCGTTGTTCCATACACTCTGAGTGGTCATTGATTGATTCCCCATCAGGGCACAAGCCTGGGTTGCAGCTCCATCCCCATTTGGGGGCTTGCAGGAGGCAGGGATCAATGTTTCTTTCTCTCTCTCCCTCTCTCTTCTTCTGTCTCTAAAAGCAATAAAAGCATATTTAAAAAGAAAAGAGAGGATGACATTATTTATCCTTCAATGTTGAAATTGGAATTTATTTTTAGGCTTAAAATATTGTATCATAAATTTTAAATGAAGAGCAGGTATATTCAGTTTTTTTATATAATGGGAATTACACTTCACCTTTAATCATTTTTTTAAATATTTTATTGATTTTTTACAGAGAGGAAGGGAGAGGGATAGAGAGTTAGAAACACCGATGAGAAACATTGATGACAGAGAAACATCGATCAGCTGCCTCTTGCACACCCCCCACTGGGGATGTGCCCGCAACCAAGGTACATGCCCTTGACCAGAATCGAACCTGGGGCCCTTGTGTCCGCAGGTCAACGCTCTATCCACTGAGCCAAACCAATCAGGCCCACCTTTAATAATTTTTAACATTTTAAAGTATTTTATGAATACAAAAAGAAAAAAAAGAATAACTATGAACTAAATATATGTATTCATCATTCCAACTCACCTGGACTGTTTTTGCAGAATGATCTGAATGATTTAAAGTGGGTCTATCTGCATCTGGATCAGACTCTGTCTGCCTCAGGGAAGTATGCTTTTTCTTCACAAGATCTGCATCTCTATTGTATGAGTATCCAAGTTTAGATGTGGGAGATAAACTTGTTTTTTTGATAGGTGATTCAGGATCTGTTCTGCATTCTAAGGGTCTAGAATTCTCTAATTTTTCTTGCTCCAAGTTACTACTGATGTCCAGAGTCTGAAGCTTTGGCTCACCTGTCACCTCACAAATAAAGGGTGGAGACACATCCTTCTTTTTATCACAAACATATAAATCACTTAATTCTAAAGTCTCAGCTTTCAATAGTCTCTTCTTGCCTAACAAAACTTGCGCGTGAGTTGAATCCGTACTGTAACATATTCCTGGGTCATCGGAACCTGAAGTCCTTCCAGAGCTCTGTTGGGACTTTTGGGGTTCTGTGTCACTTTTAGTCCTGCGACAGTAAGGGGAGGCTGTGCTTGGACTAAGATGATCATCAGGAGTCTGATGTTCACTTTCTGACTCTCCAACCCCACTATCATTTACAAATACAGAGTCGTCCTGTGATAAGAAGTCTACGGCTGTGCTGGTAGGCTGCTGCAGTTCAGGTTCCTGTTTCAAATCACTAAGCTCTGCATAGAATTTTTCTTGATCAACAGAACTGTTTGTATCTGTTTCATAGTTTCCAACTTTGTATGTGCTTTTACTGCTGTTTTCCTCTATCTGAACAACATTTAGTTCTTGGCCACTGAAATGTGCCCTTATTTGATAGAGATAAGTCATAACAGTCAGTTTGTCAGGAATTGCTAATAAGACCATGTCAGAAGGTTCCAATAACCGGGAAATTCCTATGCTGGCAAATCCATCATATGCCTTCAAAGGAAGGAAAAACAAAAGATATATTGAACAGTTCAGATATTCCATACATTTTAAAAACAGCAAAAAAACCCCCAAACAACCCCAAACAAACAAACAAACAAACAAAAAACAACGAATGTTAATTAAACTTAATGTGGGGAATGTTTCACAGTGATTCAAATATTGAAACATGTTGTACACCTGAAACTAATATAATGTTATATGTAAATTAAATATCAAAATTAAGTTTAAAAAATGAATAAAATTAAGTTACCATAAAAAAACAAGCAGCATAATTTTAGTGGATTTTTGTTGTTGGAGGGTACATGACAAATACATGAGCAAAACAAAATTCCAAGTCATAAATTTGTAAAAGTGGGGTAGATCCCAGAGAAATTTCCTTAATATCAAATGGAATGTGGTTCTATCTGCATCTTATTTTATTTTCCAATAAAGAAAATAAGCAAGAAAAGAGAGTTAAAACAAACAAAAAAAACCTTAGAATTTATTTTTTAAGATAAGGAATTAAGTTATAAGAAAGAGTTCATTTGGACTTTATCATTCCTATCAAACTCTCTTTTCCATGGTCATGTAACTGAAGTGACTCATGAAGAATAAATACAGCTGGATACTCCAAAAGAACTAACTCCTAGATTACCTAGTATAAAACAAGTCTACAAACATAGCAACTTTTTAAATGCCCAATTGAAATTGATTTTCATAATTAAAAGAGGGACTTAATTTCACTTCATCCATTTTGGAAAGAATAAAATGTTTTGAGTAGTTGAAGATGTGAGGCGGCACTATATTATTTTTGTTAGCCTTTAAGTGACTGTGGCATTTCAGGTTTTTCTAGTTTTGAAGAATCAAAGCTGTTTCTCAATTTACAATTAATTATTAGTATCCTGACCTAACCCTTGAAAACAGCATTGCGTTGCTAGGAAGCATTAATAATATGGTTTAAGGTTTAGACATATTCTTGGAGAAAGTAAAGATCCTTTAGTTATATTCTTACTTTGGGATATAAAATACCTATCTTTGTAACAACCAAGATGTAGGATCATAACTCAAAGTTTTTCTTAAAAAAAAAACAACACATTAGGAAATCATGTAACAAGAAGAAATCAGTCTTTTGCACTTACGTGTTAAAGTGCATCACTACCTTTGAACTTAATCCTTGTCTTTTTTGTATTCTTCCAGTAGTTTAATAAATGTTATGGAATACGTTAGAAAGAAAAGGAAAAGGAAACTGCGATATTAAAACCACTTCAATTTTCATAGCCCTATATTTCATAATATAGGTACCTCAAAATATTTACTTGAGAGAATGTCTCAGTTGGTGTGCATGTTTAGGCCTGTTTGTTACTTTACATGTTTTAGGAAAATTAAAGTCATTTTCCTCCTTATGTGTCTTGACAACTAGATTAACAGGCATCAATTGCAGACCATCAGGAAAAGCACCACAAGCAGTATTCTAAACATTTCCCAATTATCTAAAACACTGACATATTGGTTAAGATCAGATGTCACAGGTAAATACCTTTTTTATTCAGCACTTTTTACAGACCTGGGAAAAATGATTAGCTTCCTTGTGGGGAATCTCCTGCTGGTGTTCTGCTTCATGTAGCATTTCATTTTATGCACACTAATTGCACTAAAGAAAAACATTTAAAGACAAACCAGGTTTCTTATAAGCGAGGTCAAGACTTTTAAAGGAATTTTCCCATAGGTTAACCTCTTCTGCTATGGTCAACCACCTACTATCTTTTTAGCTATTAGTGTGGGGAGAAAAAAGAGGTATTTGAGAGAAAATTGTTTTATTCGGTCCTAGATATTACTTAATTGGTAAGGAGGAATCATTGCTAGTTATGTTATACATCTGTATGGAACTTAAAACATAGGCATTGTTTCTCCTGCTGCTTTAAGTTCAATCAAGGGCAGATGGGGTTATCAGGAAGAACTGTGTGAAGCCGGAAATAAATCTGCAGGTAGCAACTGATACTCAATGTAGATATTAGGTAAGAAGTTGCAAAGTGATGAAAAGAAAAGACTGTATAACAACAACTATTTGAAACGTGCAATGAATAGGATCATTAAAATTAAAATCCTTTCAAGACATGATTATCTGCCCTGAAAGATCTAATTGAGAAAAAATTTAATAGGATATTCTCCTTTATGTCATAATGTGTAAATCCAAGGTATGCTCATCATTATTAAGTTCCTGAAAAAAATAATGTAAAGAAGAGTGGCTTAAGCCTTAATGAGTTCACATACTCTTAAAAATTATTTAGATAAAAACGTTTCCTTTTCAAAATTTTAAACAGTAACCTGAAAGCTTCACTTAATAAAAATAATGATTTATAATGCTTCTATCTGCATTTAAATTAGCTTAATATTTTATTCAAATGCAAAAACGCAAGTAAAGAACTGTCATATCTAAAGATATAATTTAATCAATGAAAAACAAGTTCTCTAAAAGTATACAATAGATATAAGCTCTCTAAAATTATACAGAAAATATTTTATGAGAATGACTTACTTTGCAGCATGCCCACCATAAAGGTGATTTCTATAAAGAAAATCATATTGTTTTTTTAAGATTAGATTTTCTTGGGTAACATATTTCAATTAAAAATGGACAGTTTTAAAATGTATTTCCTTATGGCCAACATAATAACAATACATTTGCAAATAAATAAGAATTTTTTAACAGTAATACAAATTTTTGGTATTAGAGAGCAACAAAAGTAAAAAAAATATTTTGACTTAGTTAATTGAACTTCTATCAAAGTCTCCTTTACAGACATTTTATTACTGGTGGTTTTAATAATCTAAATAATTATTAATCACTTTATCCCATGAATTCTTTTGGCAATGAATCCCTTCTCAGAATAATGTTTTACATGTATAAAATACATAGGAATTACAAAAGAAGCCAATTATATTTAAAAATAAAACTATGAAAATATTAGCAAAATTCAGTTTGAGAAACAGTAATATATATGCTTTTATAAATGCATTAACTACTGTAATTTTGAAGAAATGATGAGCTTAAAAGGTATTGGTAGATATTTACAGCTGTACAGTGACTGAAAATATCTGAAATTTTAAAGGTGATAAAGTCTCAGTCATGGCTTGTTATTGCCTAAATTTATAATTGGAGGAAATGCTAACTTTTAGTTAAAAATTTGAGGAAAATATATTTTTTCCACTAGCCATGTTCAAAGATCCCCTGAGTTCTGTCCGTAGCCCCAGGTTAGGAACTCCGGTTCTGAGACAATACATTTCATTAACTTAGCAGTTGAAGAATTCAATTAAGCACAACCCCTACCTCCGCAAAACAATAACACTGAGTACTACTGTGTGTTGAGTTAGATGATTCCCTGTTTTTTCATTTCAAGGTGCACAGACTGTAATATTGTGCTATTGAGGGAAGTTGTTAAGTCAGCCTGCTGCCATACTCAGCTGGCCCTGGAAGGCTCTAGCAATTCAGCCCTTGCACAACTACCTTGAAGGCTGAAAGAATCGATATCCCCCAGATACCAATTGGGAAGCTCTGAGCTCAGTATATTAATTAATCATGTGGGGGAAAATTGCAGTTTACCAGAAAATAAAAAAAGAAACCAATGTTCATATCATTTTGTTTCTAGGAACACAGGCATTCTTTTTTGGCTTTAGGTTCCTGACCTCATCCTCTCCCAACAGATTTTTCTAAACTCATAATTTATGGCACAACCACTATGGGTGCACTTTTTAAAAGCTAAATTCTGAATAAAAGCAATATGGTTTAACAAATATTTAATAGGTAATGAAGTTCATACACATAGTATAATCTGATACCAGACTGGCACTCGTGATCTTTAAAGGCCATAACCAACTAGAATAAGCCATGCATCCTATTTGAACTGCAGGAAGGGGACTACCTTCTGAGAGCTGCAGTTATGACCTCGCAAACAATCTCACTTCCACCAAATTAATAAAAGCCTACAGAGAAGCCAAAACTACAACTTTTTTTTTTCTTGGCAATTCTTACCTTTTTGTTGTTCTCTTTAATATCTTGAGGATTCAGAGACTTGTAGTCACTGAGGGAGAAAATGGCACAGTAGGATATATACAGTATTTTACAAAACAGCTATTTTTAAAACAAACTGAATCTAAAAATTTGACACTCAATAATACCCAAGAGTAACTAGCAACTTCACAGCAATTCAATCAACAAAACTAATTATGTGGGAAATGAACAAAAATAAACAAACAAACAAACACAAAAACAGTGATTACATGTTTTATTGCCTGAAGCTTTCCATAAGAGAAGTTAAGGCAGGGAACCAGAGACTAGCCTTGACAACCAAATAGCCTTGACAACCAAACAAACCATGAGGCAATACCTTGTCAATGTACAAAGAGCTACAGGTTTCTTTGTGTCATATAATTTTAACACTAACCCAATTTCTTTTTTCATTTACTTCTCTTTCTAAATTTTTAAAAAAATCTTTATTGTTGAAACACTAACCCAATTTTTATAATAATTTAAAGTAAGTTCTTTGTATGAGATTAAGAAGAAAAATAATTTTTTAAAAAACAGATTTTTTAGGTATCAAGAAGGAAGGACTTTTTTTTCTGGCATGCATTTCTTTCTTTTTTAAACAATTTATTTTTATTAATTTCAGAGAGGATGGGAGAGGGATAGACAGAAACATCAATGATGGGAGAGAATCATAGATTTGCTTCTTCCGGCACGCCCCCTACTGGGGATAAAGCCCACAACCCGGGCCTGTGCCCGTAACTGGGATCCTTCAGTCTATAGGCTGACACTCTTATCTACTATGCCAAACCAGCTAGGGTGGCATGCATTTCTTTCAAAAAGAAGAGGTGTAGGTAATAAAAAAGAAATATGAAGTCAAGTATTTCAGGACACGAGTTAAAATTATTTTATTTTTTTAAAGCTATCTTTTATTTACAAAATACTTATAGGGAATGAAAAATTTTTACTTACATTAAATCCGGTCTAAAGTGGTGTAATATTGCACAAAAAGATAAACCATTTCTCCAGGATGTAGTAAAATTTGTGATTTTTACTCCCCGATAGTTTTTCGTAACTTCTTTGCACCATACAAGCAGTGACTGACTAGCATTTGGCTTTCGCCCCAAAATAGGACTTGGTATAGGACTTGGCTAGAAAAAAGAAAAAGATTATAATAGAAAATTAATATTAAATGACCTTTCTAGATCATTTGAACCCTTCGATGTAAGTTTAGGTCCTTCAAAACTGTCAATTCAAGGCAACTGTAACCCCCAAGAAAGAAACATGAATTATAAGTTATTATCCTATGGCATTCACCTGGCAAAGATGTAGGTATGCAAGATTAGTGGAAACATTGTATTAAAATATTTCAACATTTCAGGATGAATATATGTATAACTTGCACACCCTAAAAAAAATTTGCCCACATGCAATCATGTACAAATATAGTTCCTTTTTTTGACTAAAGAATAATGTATTTGGAAGTCTAACTGTGACACAAATTGCTAGTAATGGAGAGATCAAAACATAGTAATCATATTCAATGTAGATAGCAGAATGATAATCATAATCAAATGTATTCTTACATAAATTTAAAGATGACAAAACAAATTTAGAGTTATTATCAATAGTCAGGTGTTAGTAACACAACAATATGTAATTTGGATTTGCTCAAAATATCTTCTAATTATCAGTTATAACTACTTTTAAATATTAAGTCACTTAGGAGTACGTTTGTACGCATGTGTTTTAAATCTGAAGCATACACTTGGCTTTTCCTTGTTCATATACTTAAAACAACGATGACAGCAAACTTAGACCACAAAATAAGATTTTTACCTAAACTCTAATTATTCTTAAAACAATGCCATTTTCTTTTACTGTGTAACAACCACATTTTGTGATGGTAACTGTAGAGACTGATACAATTGAAAACTTAAAAAGAAGACTACTAAATGTTTCTGGACTTTGAATCTTGCTATCAGTTAAGAGTATTGGCTATAGACATAATATAGAGGCCCTCTAAAATAAGGTGAAAGGAGAATAATTATTTATCCCTAATATCATTTAACAAGCAAATTATTCTTGCCACACAGCTTGTTTAAAAAAGACCAATGATGCCCCCACTTGACAAAAGCATGCTAGTGCTAGACAATTAAAATTATCAGCCCCACATAACCATGGTTTATGCATTCACTCTTCCTGTGGAAGACTACTAAAGAACACCAAGGATATAATTTCTTACTTTTTTATTAACTGTCAGATGAACAGATTATGTAAAAAAACAAAGAATCTATTGAAGTATTGTTCTCTAAATAGTCTATACAAAGTCAATGCTGAATAATTCACAGGTCATATTTGTGACTTTCAAATCCCTCTTAACTTGAAAATAGAGTGGCAAGCAGTCTATGATTGAGCTAGGAGATCGATAAACTGGGCATAAACATATTTTTTCTTAGATTTTCTATTATTTAAAGGATTGTTTTTATTGAAATAATTTTTGTGATTCGGCACTTTCTCTTCTGGATACATACCTGAAAAATCTGATAACACTAATTCATATACATATAAATACCCCTATGTTCATTGCAGCATTATTTATAATAGCCAAGATATGGAAACAACCTAAGTGTCCCTCTACAGATGATTTGGTAAATACGCAGAATATTATTTAGCCATAAAAGATTAAATATTGCCATTCGGGACAACATGGATGGATCTTGAAAGTATTATGCTAGGTGAAATAAGTCAGTTAGAAAAGAACAAAAACTGCATGATGTGGAATATAAAACAAAAAAATAACAAATGAAATTACAAACTAATAGATATAGACAACAGAATGGTGGTTACTGTAGGGAAGTAGGTGGAGGGAGGACAAACTGGGTAGAGGTGATCAGATATGTGGTAATGGAAGGAAACTAGACTTTGGATGGTGAGCACACAATAGAGTATAATGTACCAAATTATAATGTCATACACCTGAAATTTATATGATGTTATTAACCAGTGTTACGTCAATAAATTTAATTTTTAAAAACAGAATAAAATATTTTTCTGTATCGAATTATTATTTTAAAGCATTGATTTATTCCAAGTATGGGTAGCATGTAGATGGGCCACTAATCTGCAACTATCATTACATTGATTCACTCTAATCATCAGTAGCATGTACATAAGTAATGTACATATGTCATCATCATATTACAATCTAGCAGTGGTTCTCAACCTTCTGGCCCTTTAAATACAGTTCCTCATGTTGTGACCCAACCATAAATTATTTCGTTGCTACTTCATAACTGTAATGTTGCTACTGTTATGAATCGTAATGTAAATAGATCTGATATGCAGGATGGTCTTAGGCGACCCCTATGAAAGGGTCGTTCGACTGCCAAAGGGGTCACGACCCACAGGTTGAGAACCGCTGAGAGTGTTTTTCTGTACTTAAAAATTAATGAAAACATACCATGTCATTATGATTTTGAATATATCCTGTTTCTAAGAAAGGCTCAGTATGAAAAGACTGGAAGAACTAAACTAAACTTTGGACTTACCCTAACACCAAACCCTTATATTAAAACATCTCACAATAAAAATAAGTCATATGTATTGAAGAAACTTTGATGAAATCACAAGCACTAGAAATTGCAGAAAATTAAAGTACAGCCATTTTTCAATGAAGTCATCTACTTCACAACTACTGACCTTTCATCTTATATTTTGCAGAGGGTCACAAAGAACTAAGCAGGTAAGTCAGTTTGAAACCTTCTTGCTATTGCTGGCTCCTGATTTTGTAGTAAATGTGGCAGGTTGTTCCACTTCTTTGTCTCAGTTCCCTCATCTATAAATGGGTATTGTAATGGTACTCATAATGTTGTTGTAGTGAAAACATCTACTTCTCCCTGATCCCATCCAGCATAACCCAGACATGGTCCCATCTTATTGCGTTTGCACAGATTGTTCCATTTGCCTAGATGCTCTCCTCTTAGATATCTGCATGGTTAACTCCAATGCAATCATCTCCATTTGAACACCCTAATTAATAACACCACCCATCTCCATCACCCAAACCCAACTAGGCTCTCCTGACTCCCCTTACCTTGCTCTATTTTTTTTCCGTAGCTTATTATCCTCTTATGGTCCATACACTTTATTTTGGTTATTTCCAAAATATGCTTATTGTTAACTAGAGGCCTGGTGCACGAAATTCATACATGGGGGGAGGGGTCTCAAGCCGGCCTGCAGCCTCTCCAATCCTGGACCCCTCGGGGGATGACCGGCAGTGGTCCTCTCACAATCCAGGACCACTAGCTCCTAACTGCTCACCTGCCTGCCTGCCTGATTGCCCCTAACTGCTCTCCCCTGCTGGTCTGATGACCCCTAACTGCTCTCCCCTGCTGGCCTGATACCCCTAACTGCTCTCCCCTGCTGGCCTGATCGCCCCTAACTGCCTCTCCCTTGGCCCCCATTACCGTGGCTTTGTCCAGAAGGATGTCTGGAAGGACGTCCAGAAGATGTCTGGTCTAATTAGCATATTACCCTTTTATTAGTATAGACTAGAGGCCCAGTGCACAAAAATTTGTGCACTCGGGGGGAAGGGGGGGTCCCTCAGCCTGGCCTGTGCCCTCCTGCAGTCTGGGACCCCTCGGGAGATAATGCCCTGCTGGCCTAGGCCTGCTCCCGGGTGGCAGAGGGCAGGCCCAATCCCTAGGTGCAGCCCCTGGTCGGGCTCAGAGCAGGGCCGATTGGGGGGTTGGGGCACCACCCCCTGTCACACTCAAAGCAGGGTCGATGGGGAGGTTACGGTGCCACCCCCTGTCACGCACAGAGCAGGGCCAATCTGGGGGTTGGGGCGCTGCCCCCTGTCATGCACAGAGCAGGGCCCATCAGGAGGGTTGGGGCTCCTTACCCTGTCACGCACAGAGCAGGGTCGATCAGGGGGTTGGGTAGCTACCCCCTGTCACGCACAGAGCAGGGCCCATCAGGGGTTTGGGGAGCTCCCCCAGGTCACGCACAGAGCAGGGCCCATCAGGGGGTTGGGGCACCTTCCCCTGTCACGAACAGAGCAGGGTGGATAGGGAGGTTGTGGCCCCGCCCCCTGTCACACACAGAGCCACAGGCCGATCAGGGGGTTTGGGCGCTGCCCCCTGTCACGCTGATCTCGGTGCCGGGAGGCCTCGTGGCTCCGCTGATCCCGGTGCTGGGAGGCATATTATCCTTTTGCTATATAGGATAGAGGCCTGGTGCATGGGTGGGGCTGGCTGATTTGCCCTGAAGGGTGTCCTGGATCAGGGTGGGGGTCCCCACTGGGGTGCCTGGCCAGCCTGGGTGAGGGGATGATGGCTGTTTGCAGCTGGTCACACACCCTTCAGGGTGGGGGTACCCACTGGGGTGCCTGGCCAGCCTGGGTGAGGGGATGATGGCTGTTTGCAGCTGGTCACACACCCTTCAGGGTGGGGGTCCCCACTGGGGTGCCTGGCCAGTCTGGGTGAGGGACTGAGGGCTGTTTTCAGGCCGACTGAAGCTCCCAACCGCTCCTTTTTTTCTTTTTTCTTTTTTTATTCTGGGCCAGCTTTAGCTCTGGCTCCAGCTCTGAGGCCTCTGCTGCTGAAAGCAGGAATCTGGTTTGTTTGGGTTCTATAATCGAAACAATGTATAACTCCAGCTCTGAGATCCCGGCTCACTGAAAGCAGGTTTCTGGGTGTTTTTTTTAGCTTCTATATTTGTAACAATGTTCCAAACTGCAGGCTCAGAGGCCGGCAAAGCAGGCAGGGAACATTGATTTCCTCCGTCACTGAAGCAAGCAAGCCTCATGTTAGTTTCAAGCTGCTTGGCTGCCGGCCGCCATCTTGGCTGGCAGTTAATTTGCATATCACTCTGATTAGCCAATGGGAAGGGTAGCGGTCGTACGCTAATTACCATGTTTCTCTTTTATTAGATAGGATGCTTATTACCTGATCATCCTCATAAATAAGAGGGCTATTATAGCAGTGATTTTAGTTTTTGTTTATTAATTGATCCCAAGTGTCCAGAACAGTTCCTGGCACATAGTAGGCACTCAGTAAATACTGCTAAATCAATAAATTCATGCAAAAACACTTAGCCTAATGGATGACACATAGTAACTATTCAGTAAATGTTAACTGCAATTATT